GGGGGGGGGCCCGTGTCAGCTGACAGCTCTGGGGTGATTGGGGGCGAGTCGAGCGGCTCTCACTGCCGGTAATTGAGAGTTCTCTGGAGACCGAGCCGGCATTACCGAGAGGAAAAGGAATTGTTACCTTGTAAGGTTTGATTTTCCAGGACTGAAATGTCTTCCTCTGATGTCACCGCACACTGCGAGCTTCTCACCATGTGCAAGTCAGATAGAGCCCGCCTCATTTCCTGGCATCATCTAGCCCTTTCCTCCACATCCAGACTGTCCTTGGGCCCCGCCCCTTTCATTCATTGGCTCTCAGTTCTTTCAATCATGGAGGCTCAGCATCACATCCACATACAGCCTACAGCCTGCCTAGGTTGGAGCTTCCTTTTAAGACCCTTTTGTGGCCACTTCATTAGGTTGGTCCATCTAGTGCCCACAAGGGGGCGCACATGGGCAGGAGAAACAACAATACTCAGGTACAATGTGACATCCATGTAATCCTCAGATGATGGACTGCTATCCTCCGCACCATGACAACGCCAGCCTGAGCCAAGGAGAGAGAGAGAGAGAATAGAGAGGGAGCTCAGGGAGAGAATAGAGAGGGAGCTCAGGGAGAGAATAGAGAGAGAGAATAGAGAGGAGAGAGAGAGAGAATAGAGAGGAGAGAGAGAGAGAAGAGAGAGGGAGCTCAGGGAGAGAATAGAGAGAGAGAGAGAATAGAGGGGAGAGAGAGAGAGAAGAGAGGGGGGAGAGAGAGAGAGAAGCTGGTATTTGTTATAGCTTTTTTCCTTCACTGATGAAAGAAATAAGCTGTTACAAGCTTAACTATTTCATTAATAGATGCCTACTGAGGCATCTATTAATGAACGGTAACCGCTGATGCTCACTTATAGTGTACGGGGAGAGAGAGAGGAGAGAGGAGAGAGAGAGACAATAGAGAGAGAGAGAATAGAGAGGAGAGAGAGAGAGAAAAGAGAGAGAGAGAGAATAGAGAGGAGAGAGAGAGAGAATAGAGAGAGAGAGGGGAGAGAGAGAGAGAATAGAGAGAGAGAGAGAGAGAGAGAGGAGAAGAGAGAGAGGGAGAGAATAGAGAGAGAGAGAGAGAGAGAGAGAGAGAGAGAGAGAGATAGTAGAGAAGAGAGAGAGGGGAGAGAGCATAGAGAAGAGATAGAGGGAGAGAATAGAGAGAGAGAGCATATAGAAGAGAGAGAATAGAGAGAGAGTAGAGAATAGAGAGAGAGCATAGAGAAGAGATAGAGAATAGAGAGAGAGAGTAGAGAAGAGATAGAGGGAGAGAATAGAGAGAGTAGAGAAGAGATAGAGGGAGAGAATAGAGAGAGAGGGGAGAGAGCATAGAGAAGAGATAGACAGATTGAGCGCCCATAGCCTGGAAATAGAATCAGCGCGTCATAGACAGACCTACAAGCCCAGGGAGAGTAGACTGTGCCAGCAGTGTGAACAGGGGGCCCTGGAAGATGAGGTCCACTTCCTCCTACAGTGCCCCAAGTACTCAGCACTAAGGGACACTCACTTCCAGAGACTCTCCGCTCTCATCCCGGGCTTCACCACTATAGAAGAGACGAGGAAACTCTGCATTGTACTGGGAGAAGAGGAGCCGACGGTGAAAATATCTGCGCAATACGTCACAGGGTGTCACAGACTGAGAGGAACATAAGAGATCCCAGCATG